CCGCCCCCTTCCCCCCCCTGCAGCCGCTCCATCTGGGACAGGGACATGGGGTGGCCGGGGGGCAGCGGGGACCCCCCTCACCACTCCCTTCGCCTCCCGCATTGGGGTTCGGCCTTACCTCCGCGCGCAGCTCGGCCAGCTTCTTGTCCATGCTGGAGCGAGCACCCAGCTCGTCTTCCAGGTCCTCAGAGATGCGCCCCAGCTCGTCCTGGTGGATCTCCTTCAGAATGTTGAGCTGTGGGGGGGACACAGCACCCAAGGTGGGCAGCGAGCACCCACCTTGCGCCACCCAAGCCCTGTCTGCACCCATCCACCCAACTTCTGCGGACGGACCAACTGGCTCAATAGTACTAATTAGGACCCTTAATGAGCACCCTGGAGTTGGGGAGGTGGCTGTGGGTCACCATGTCCAACCATCAGGGCACGCCACCCCCCAGGGCACAGGCCACCCCCCCGGGGCACCCCTGATCCCCAGGCACCTCGCTCACCTGCTTCATCACCTCCTGCTTGCTCTTGTTGAGCTCCTCGTACTTGATCTTCCACTGGCTGAGCTCGCCCTCCAGCTTCTCGATGCTCTTGCTGAGCGCCAGCTTGTCCCTGGGGAGAGGCAACGCTGGTGACAGCCGGCAGGACCCCATGGGACATCCCCTCCCAGTGGGGACCGGGCTGGGCTCGGCTGGCACCCCACGAGGATGACGCCTTGAGCACTCACTCCCGCTCCTTGAGCAGCACTTTTTGGGACTCATCCAGCCTCAGCTTCAGGGCGGTGACTTTGGTGGCATCCTCCTCCATGACGCTGACATCCTCCCAGAGCAGGCGGCTCCGTTCCTGGCGGGTGAAGGAGGCCCGGGGGCCCCGCTGCTCCCAGCTCTCATCCTGCTTGCTCGTCAAGATGTTTTCCATCAGCTCCAGCTCCTGTGGCGCCGTGGGTGGCCCAGCACAGGGGACAGGGAGTCACCCATGGGTGAGGGGGCAGCCCTGGCTTCCCACCCCCTACAGCACCCAGCCTTCACCCCGTAACCAAGAGCATCCCTCCAGCCGAACCCAGCAGCATCCCTCCCTCCAGTCCCCAGGGAACCCCCGAGACTGATGGAGAGGGACCCGTCCCCCGAGGGGAGCTCCTATATACCACCAAGCTCTGCCGCCGGCTCCCCGCCTCGCTGGAAATTTGGGATGAGGCAATACCGATTCATTACACCGACCTCG